ATGAAAAATTGTCAAAAAACTTTCCCTTCAATAAGAAATCAAGGTCATCTTCACTTTCTTAAGTGGTTTTCCATGACTAAATTGTTTAGTAAATCATTCTTAAATGTAATAAGATTTTTTATTATGCAGTTCAAGCACTTATTAGATGTTCAATAATAATACGATGACATCATGAACGAGAAGTTGAATTTATGACAAGTCTTTTAATGTTTACAGTCCATTATCAAGTATCGCGGAATTGACTCACGCGTGAATAAAGAATCTTATTACATTTAAGAATGACTTTCTAAGCAAATTATTCATGAATAGAAGTTTAATATGACATTGCTAAATTTGCTTCGATACCACCTACAATATTGGATAGAAATACTTGAATGGTGCCATTTAAAAAAGTGAAGGTGACTTTGATTTTGTTATTGAAGAAAATATTTTTTGGTATTATTGCTATTGCAACTTGTTGCCGATTGAGTACTGACTAACTTCTGTTCAGAACATTTTTTTGCCAGAATATCATAAGTGTCTCAAAAATCGCGGCGATCGTTACGATGAACGTCTTATACCTACAAGTGAATATTCTATTTTCAATAGATATATAATAGGTTGTTAGCAATAACAAGAATTTGTTCTTGTACAGAATTATATTTCAATGAAGTATTTTATAATTCTATATAAGTATCGAATTCATTTTTAATGGTAATAGCGTAGTCAGAAGTTCATACTGTACCCGTTCATTAAAATAATAGAAAATCTGACATATCCATGATATTGGAAATTTTGTCATTAAGAATTTTCAAAATATTTGTGGAATCAGAGAAAATGTTTAAATGGTTCGAGATAATGAAATAATTGAATTTTATAATTTTATTCTATGAATATAATATATGTTGAAATACCTTAGGAATTTGAGGATGTAAAGAATTTTGGAAGAAAACACTAGAAGAGTAACTATATTGTAGAGGTCGCGATTCTGAACGTGTATTAAAAGCACACGTGTACACGAGTACTTCACGCATACGGTACGTTAGTACGTGTTATTTTAAGTACACCTGTACTATTTCACGTATATTGAATACACTTATATTGTTTCACGTATATTTAAATATAAGTTAAATGTCCCTGTGATTGGACATGTCTTGGTGATTGGACACGATCGTGAATTTTTGATAATATTAAATTTTCTTTAAATAATAGCGAACTTCAGGATAGAAAATAATTATCCTTAGTTATTTCTTATTATAAATCATACAAAAATGTTCGCAAAAGCGCGATGTATTATTTAAAAAAAATATTATCATTTAGCAATCATAAACTTGAAGCGACATAAGTGCCTTTGTAAATGTTTCGCTAACATTGGGAGTGCATTTCTTAAGCTCGTAAATAATAAATAATTCGTGTGTTTCTATTAAGTATAGGTTTCCTGAACTTATTAAGGTCTCCAGAATCGATACCAACTTTGTTTTAATAAAACCTTTTTCTTTTAATATCGAAATTACTGAGTTTATTTACTGATACATGAGAATGCTGATTGCGTAGTCGTTGGACGCTTGTCAAGTCAATCGAGCAGCATCGAGCAGAGAGTTAGTGTATGAGTTAAAAAATTATTTTCGTTATATCACAGTAGGTATTTTTGTATATTTTATATCGATAACAATATTTAATTTTTGAAGCTCATAGTTCTTTTACATACTTCATACATAAATATCATATTATTTTGACGCACCCATAACCTAAGCGATTCGCGTACTGAATATTCATTATAAATCACCTTTTTATTTTATTTCTTTCGTTTCGATAATTTTTCATAACAATAAAACTGTCAAGAAGAATTAAAGAAGCGTATTAAAAAAGAAAAATTAGAAGAGAAAAAAAACAAAAATTTGCTGCCAAGAAAGTTGCAAAAAGTGTTTAAAACAATCAAAAACAAAAAGAGGAATCATTTTGTTATTTTTGTTTAACTTTGTCTAATTTGGTTTAATTTTAATTTTGTTTTATTTAAAATATATACTTTCTATAAAATGTCTATAATAAACCAAAGTTAAATCCACTATGTTTCTTTTTAATGCTCAATTTCCTAAATATATAAAGATAAATGTTTAAAAGCTTTTACCAAATATACACTTTTTCCTTAGTGTTATTTATTTATTAATTTATAATGTATATGTATATTTATAGATTTAGTTCATCATTTTTATTATTTTATTTATTTATAATTTTGTTCCTTTTATTTATTGCATTAAATTAAGTTTGTTACGTTTTTATTTGAATTTTTACAACATATGAGAAAAGTATAATGTTTTACTATTAAAAATCAACTATGACTATTATTGAATGTAGCTTTATTGAATGTTATGTCCAAACACTGAGACAGTTAAAAATCACTAGGACATGCCGTAAATTCCGTCCAATCACTCGGCCAAATGAACGCTTTAAGATATTCATGGATTTTAATACTTTTTTTCGCGTGAACGCTTTCTTATAACGACTTGTCTGGAAGAAGAAGTTCTGCTCTATCTATATTATTTTAATATATAAAAAGTCTTCGTAACCGCAATCGTCGCCTTAAACGTCCAACCACTGGGACATTTACCTTACGTGTACTATGTCATATATGCATATTTGAATATACGTGTATTAACGAATCTGCATATCGATTCGTATTAATTTTTGGGGTACAGTTACTTATTCTGGAAAGGAAGGGGTGGAATAGGCAAAGGATATAGATAGCCCGATAAGGGGGTCAAAAGTGTCTTAGAATGAATTGGATTTGTGATGGACCATTTGATAGCTTACCAAGAAAAAGATGTGTACCAATTTTTAACGCTCTATCTCGACCAGAAGGGTAGTAACAGAGAAAATTCGGATTATTCGATTTTTCATATATTTTCCTTTTTTAATGACATGCAAAAAATCTGTAAAAAATCTGATAAATGATAGTTACCGGGGCACGTGATAGAGAATTTATTCCGATTTTTTGGTTGAAAATCCTAGTGGTAAAACATGACAAAATCTATATAATGACGAAAAATACGAATTCCTTGTTGCAGATTTAAAGCGATTGCATTTATACAATTACAATAACAACATATATTATCATAAGTATTGTCCTAAATTTTCTGGAGATTTTTTGGTAGGGTATGTCGTAGTTTTAAAAATCGAAAACCGATTTTTTCGATGTTTTTTCACGGAAAATACGTACACTTGCATTTTTTTATTTACCTACTTTATTAAGTGAGTATATTATACGATTTTAAGTATTTCTACATTTAGCAAAACAATATATAAAATAAAGGAGTTAATATAAACTTAATTAAAACTGTGCTACAACTTTATATGTTAAAATATTGACATTACGTTAGTATAGTCGGTTAAGCGTCCTACAACGGATCCGTAGAGATGTTTCTGGCCATGGTTTTGAGGCTTTGTACATACTTTTTTTATTACATAAATTATATATTTTTTCATTTCTAACTAAATGACAGTGAATAGTATGATTGTTAAGGGTTTAGGTAGGATAGGTTATTCATACTGTTAAGGATATTACGAGAACGAGGTTTATGAGGTTTTTGTTTTTACATAAGGTTGAAATATTCTTAAATAAATACTATTCATTGTCATTTAGGTACAAATTAAAAAATATATATAGCGAACGTAATAAAAAAAACTTACTATGTACTTTGTCTAGGGCTCGAACCCATGTCCAAAAATGTGACGTCGGTTGCGTAGTTTGATGACTTAGCCCCTACATCCTACACCAACAACGCTTATAGAAGAATAGTATATATTTTACAGAATTTTGGCACGCTACTAAATAGAAAAAACTGAGGAAAAACCGACAATTCGAATTTTCCCTATTACTACCCTCCTGGTCGAGACTAGAGCGACTAAGAGCACTTTTCACCCCTTTATCCGGCTTTACCCTTTATTAATAGGAGTGGTTTTCCAATTTATTTTTCCATTTTATTTTCTATAACTATATTTTGCTTTCGAAAATTAGTAACTGTATCCTAAAAATTAATAGGAATCAAAATGCAGATACGTTAATACACGTGTATTTAAAAATGTAAATATTCATGAAATAGTACACGTGTATTTAAGTACATGTGTAATAGGAATCTTTACAACATATATTGCTAATTTTTGAATAATGATTCGAATGATGTCTTCGAGAAAATCGATTTTAAAAATGCACCAAGTGTGCGTACTCTTAACTCTTAAGTAATAACTTAATGGACCTTGGTGTACATTACTCTTTCTGTAGTATCTACTGTCTTGTCAATGTAAGGCAAGAAAACTATTCAGTAAGACATAGTGTTTACCTCCTACATGTTTTATTTTATTATTCTAGAAATTGCTGGATGTATGGGTCATATTGTTGCAGATATTCATCTGCGCCCTTCGTACTGCATTATTACAAACACTTTTTGATGTATTCACGTCTCTTGTAACTTTAAATGCAAGGGCAATCCTCTTCTTTAAGCAGTCAATGCTCATTAAGTATTCGGAATACACTATTGGTTTAGTATGACACCATAAATAAAATCCAAGAAGCAAGTCTGATGACGCGGTGACCAAGGTACTTATCCGTCACGGTATATCAAACGTTTTGTAAATGTGTAACGTACATTTTCAAAAAAGATTTACTGGTAAACGATGCTTTATTAAAAAAAAACGTTATTAATCATTTTTGGTTTATTTTCTCATGGAAAATTACGTGCTTGGTAGTACTATGCTTTGCAAGGATACTCTGTATAGGAAAAAAAGCACCCCTTTTTCGTGATAGTTCTATCAAGGTACACCAGCGATCTGCTCAGTTAAAAAAAATCGATGTTTCCGGGTTATCAAAGGCTCCTTGTTACTGAAACGATTAAGTACCTTTTGTACAAGAAAAAAAAAAGAGAAGTACCTTGTGGATCAATGATAACCCCGTAAATGCGTAGACAAATATTCGTATGTGTATAATATAGAAAAAAAAGCAGACTCACAAAGAGGTGTGAATGTACCTGATGATGCGGCCGGTTATTTGGATGGGGGGTTGGCATGTGGGCTCCATGATGATAGACGGAAACAGGGTCATGCTTCAAAGGCATTGGGGTGCCCGCGTTGTGTTTTCCTAAATCCGCAGCCAAAGCCTCCGCCCTCGAAAGTAAGCCGTCTTGTAGACCGCTGTTCAGGCCCCCGAATAAGTCACCCTGAAACGTTAAAAGCGACGCGTGACACTGATTGAAGAATCATGGATCATGAGTCAGACTGTAGAATAACCGAACTCTTAAAGAAAGCCTCCTGTCTTGTTAAACGAATTTAAATCGCATCAGGGAAATCTTGTAACGTCATTGATCTCGCACAATCTGCCTAGTTTACAGTTTAAGGGGAGATGGATCGAAGAGTCCAGAAAAAGAATGCTGTAGTAAATACTATTCAAACTGTCATAATTTTATCAATGACTCTAAACCACTGCAGCAAATATTCTTCAAATTGTCACAATTTTCTGAATGCTTTCAACTTCAATTGAAACACAGGGTGTACAAAAATAGTAGAAGTTCGAATTTTTTATTCGTATCCAGGGAAAATAAATCAAAAAAAGTGTATAGTTTCAAATGTTGGAAAATATTAATTTTCCTGGATCATCGAAGATTATTGTCATATTAACCAGCTGTATATTTGAAAATAATATTTGTTGGTAATTTGTGTTATAGTCGTTCTATGCGAATAAGAACGTGGTTTCGTTTGCATAAATGTATCCGGTCAGAGGTCACTCTACGGACTCAACATGGCCGTCGGATCGATATTCTAAAAATAGTTTTGACACTGGAAACTTGAATTTAGCTTTTCGCAGACTTTGAATTACATGGAAGTACAACTAACTGATAGTTCAACTGAAGTTGATTGTCTGACGGGCAACAATTTACGCCATGTAACAGTAATATTACATTTTTACCGTTACAGTGATTATAATTGAATGTATAACATATCTTTGCAATTATATTGAATATACTACATAATGTTGACATGCTATTTTGTATTTAATTTTGTACATTCTAGTTTATAAATAAAAGGTTTCCCTTCGAGTAAATATTTGTCAGTGTGAAGTGAAAACTACTTCATAATATTTATACAATATTTTTTCCTAATGCTGAGACTTGTTTCATACATTTGTATTAATTATTAATAACGTCATACACAAGTTTGATGTCAGTTTTAACATACATGGAATGAAATATAATGCAGTTGTAATTCGCTGGGTTGAATATATTTCAAAGACGACTACGTGTGACCTATGGGATTCTCTATCGTTGCGGTTGTCAAACATCGTAACGGTAGTGGAAAAGATATTTTCAGGGTGAGGTGCTACTAAAATGATAGTACTTGATAACCGAAAGGGTGCATATATTCTCTTTATGAAGTTACCAGTTAGGTACAGACTGATAATTATTCATGAGTTCGTGTGTAATGGAAATGAAAATAATTTTTATAAACAGGAATTCAGTTACACGCATTATTTACTTGACTTTAATGTAGTTTAAAACAAGTTTAAGAATACTAATTACTAATTAAGTTTAAATATAAAATAAGGTTAGGTATACTATTACTTTATAAGGATGTATATGCAATTATGGACTGTCGCGAAATAAGTCAAGAAGACTGGAATTAAAGAAAGATTCGTTTACTCTAGAAAGGGATCTGTCAATTTACAGATAAAATAAAAATCCAATTGAACTTTACTAAAAATTTTACTAAATGTAGTTGTAGACAATCGTGTATGATATAAATGTGTAATAATATATCATTACATGCAAGTACCGGAAGAATATTAGTAAATAAGTAATATATTTTAACTCACATTATTGATAATGTTTAAAAAAAAATGTTAGTTGTACTTCATTACTTTATTTTTTATTACAATATAAAATATCATAATTTGTTATTTATAAATATCTAGATTGTGCGAAACACATGTTTTTCTAATTATAATAGTAAACATTAGAAAACTATTGAGTTAGCTGCTCACAAACTTTTTAAGAAATCAGTTTGACACTAAATGGATTGAATAAGCTCAATTTGTTCATAATGAAAATATTCTAGGAATATTTTCCCTCAGCAGAATGTCACATGGACGATGAGAGAACGTAGTATAAACGACGAAGATGAATCACGTAATTTCATAGGAAACAATGATAAATGGTGAAACATTGACGGCGAAGGGGTAATAAGATCTATTTTTCCGGCGATATATTAATAACAGTTGCGAATCGAATTCAGGGTTTCGTTTCCTCTAGGACGCTTCTATACCGTGGCAATCGATATTATATGGGATATTTTGCGTCAACTGCATCTGTCACTCGTGGCACATTACAAGGTTCGGCTGTCATGCGAGGAGTATTGTCACATTATTCGAAGGAAATCGAATCGATTTTAATGCGCAGCAATTTAAAACTTTTCAAAAGCACCATATTACTTCAGCTATTTTATCGTGAAAATGAAGAAAATGTATTGGTATGTTTCATCCAATATCAATTTTATAAGGTACATCACATCTTTTTTGGATAGCAATTTTCTTATTTCTGTAACGGTTTTAGATACCTATTCGTATACCAATGATTATAACTATAAATTTTTATAATTGGTGTAAATAATTTGTGAGTAGAATATAAAGAAGTTACATGTATTTACTGCATTTTCTATTTTTATTAAAACTACATAATCTCATGTCTACGCTAATATTGATATTTATTAAGATACATATAACTAATACTTCTTAAGGTTTACTTTTGTGTAATGCAGGGACTAAATACAGTTTCTTTACATTCTTAATTCTTTCCGAAATTCATGGAGGTTATAAATAATAAATTCATTTTACTCGGTTATTTATACCACATAATTTAGTACTATGTACATACTTCAATATATGTACCTTAACCTCTGTAAATTGCACCACATAGAAACTTACTTTTTTAATTAAGAAGTGAAGAATTTTTAACTAAAATTTACGTGGTACACACAATTGACTGCTAAAACGATTCGTATCCAACTTATTTTGGACCAGATGGTGAGCTAGATACTTTTTCAATAGATATCTTCAATAGAGATCAATAATAAGAGACGTACAAATTATAAAATTTTTAATATTCGAGTGACACAATAAATATTTCCAGTAGGTACTGTATATAGATTTAATAATACTCATCATTGGTGTCAATATCTATTAGTTGCACTTTTCATACAAAATGTGTTGATACTGTTAAAAATAGTTAAACTATATTTCTCTAACGAATTAAAATATACAATTTTTACAAAAAGATTTAGATTTCATATTTCAATAACATGAGCGGAGCAGTTTTTAATTTCTAATGATCGCATAAATTCTAATTACTCCACTTGTTTTAAACGAATTATTTCCTACGTATTAATTGTGTGAAAATATGAGGAATATTCATAATTGTTCCTAAAGTATATATGTCAGTGGTCATTCCAATTTCAAGAAAAAGGGAGCTATGTCGTCAAAAACCAATTTTCAATTTTTATGACCTGAAATTGTACTAGAAGTGGTCTCACAATTAAGCGTTAATTAATTTTTTACTATAATTCATAAAATGTATTTCATTCACATAAAAAACTAGATACATCAATTGTGTAACTTTAAAAAGTTAGAAGTCTTTAAAGTGTATCGCCAAAGGATATCGTAGGTACACAGATAATATTAATAAAATTCGAATAAAATGTTTGCAACCTAAATTAATACTTTTCAAAAGACTTTTCACAAGTTTTAACAACCTTTAATCTGTGATTTTATGCATTAATAACTTGCTGCTAACGAATTTTAAAGTTATAACGCTGTGACGCGATATTGTCGATTTCGATTCTCATCTTCACTCTATAAAATATTGATAGGGATCGATTGATTGTCGAAACAGTTGAACTGAGCCCTCTGTACCATGGAGTTTCATAAAAATTGTATGAATCTGGCACAAACAAACGCTTTTTACTTAATAATAGATGGCCGAGTAAGTTACACTTCGAATGTTTTCAAAATATACATATGTAGTATCTAGGTACAAAATTGTGTATACTTTGAATTAAATTATTAACACTTTTTTCTATGTAATATGTACCTTATGCTACATCTTCACAGGCGATGAACAATTTCACACTTATTTTAGAGCATTTATTATAATTAAAAATAATCGTTAAAATTGTGTTATCGGTGTATATATGAGGATGCAAATGTTTGTAATATTCTACGAATATTTACAATTATTTTTTGTACGAACTATCTTTGTTGATTTTCCCAACATTATATTATCATAAATGAAAATATTAAACTGTCATAGAAGAACAAAAATGATATTTATTAACAAATAAGAAAAGGTATACGTGGATGTACATATTTATAGAAAAGGAACACGTTTTGGAAGCTTTCTTCTGGCTTCTCTTGTAGTTTATGCGTTTAGATAAATGTCAATCATAAAAACGAGAAAAGAATATCAGTAAGACGATGCAGGCGTTTGGTTAGAATTAGTTTAAGTTTAACACTACATGAGATTACGAGTTCGAGTTCTGGAGAAGAATTAACGATAGGAAACTCTGGTACAATTGCACAAATAGCCAACGAAAGTTATTCAGTTCAGTAAATAGTAGCAGAAATGATAGTCTTATTCATTGAAGAATGGTAACATTTTAGTATGAACAATGTACTATGTATTGAACGCTTATGGACTGGTCGCTATTTTATGATATTTCATGTTGTTCCTGAACTATTTTATGATCATAATTTCCTTTAATTCATCTTTTGCAAACTGTGTATAATTTTCTGTTTATAGATATAAAGTCGTACGTTCATATGATCCAATAGAATATGATATGAATTTAGAAAAACTTAGTACACGGTGAACGTTCGAGAAAGTTTATTAGAATTATTAATTTTTTAGATGTTTCTTGCAATATAAATAGTTTCGTTAGATTAGGTAAAGCTAAAACGGATTCGATATCCACTTACTTCATTATATCTATAGTGTAATGTTCGCATCGATCAATATTTCACGTGAAAACCGCCGTTGTACATCAATGCTTCGATTATTTATGAACTCCTTGGGTCTTCGTCGAGTACGTGTACCTACTGTCTGTCTGTAGGTTGCTGAACTACCACTACTTTTTCTAATTTCCAAGTTCCGCCGTGCGTTTCCCTTCGTTCCTG